GCAAGCTACTGGACCAGGCAAGCTCTTGGACCAGTCAAGCTCCTAGACCAGGCAAGCTTCTGAACCTCGCACGCTCCTGGACTAGGCAAGCTGCTGGACCAGGCAAGCTCCTGGACCAGGCAAGCTCCTGGACCAGGCAAGCTCCTGGACGAGGCAAGCTCATGGACTAGGCACGCTCCTGGACCAGGCACATTCCAGGACCAGGCACGCTCCTGGACCAGGCAAGCTCCTGGACCAGGCAAGCTCCTTGACGAGGCAAGCTCCTGGACCAGGCAAGCTCCTGGACCAGGCAAGCTCCTTGACGAGGCAAGCTCCTGGACCAGGCAAGCTCCTGGACCAGGCAAGCTCCTGGACCAGGCAAGCTCCTGGACCAGGCACGCTCTTGGACCAGGCCAGCTCCTCGACCAGGCAAGCTCCTGGACCAGGCAAGCTCCTGGACCAGGCAAGCTCCTGGACCAGGCAAGCTCCTAGACCAGGCACGCTCCTGGACCAGGCAAGCTCGTGGACCAGGCAAGCTACTGGACCAGGCAAGCTCTTGGACCAGTCAAGCTCCTAGACCAGGCAAGCTTCTGAACCTCGCACGCTCCTGGACTAGGCAAGCTGCTGGACCAGGCAAGCTCCTGGACCAGGCAAGCTCCTGGACCAGGCAAGCTCCTGGACGAGGCAAGCTCATGGACTAGGCACGCTCCTGGACCAGGCACATTCCAGGACCAGGCACGCTCCTGGACCAGGCAAGCTCCTGGACCAGGCAAGCTCCTGGACCAGGCACGCTCTTGGACCAGGCCAGCTCCTCGACCAGGCAAGCTCCTGGACCAGGCAAGCTCCTGGACCAGGCAAGCTCCTGGACCAGGCAAGCTCCTAGACCAGGCACGCTCCTGGACCAGGCAAGCTCGTGGACCAGGCAAGCTACTGGACCAGGCAAGCTCTTGGACCAGTCAAGCTCCTAGACCAGGCAAGCTTCTGAACCTCGCACGCTCCTAGACTAGGCAAGTTGCTGGACCAGGCAAGCTCTTGGACCAGGCATGCCTCTGGACCAGGCAAGCTCTTGGACTTGGCAAGCTCTTGGACCAGGCAAGCTCCTGGACCAGGCAAGCTCCTGGACCAGGCAAGCTCCTGGACCAGGTAAGCTCCTGGACCAGGCAAGCTCCTGGACCAGGCAAGCTCCTGGACCAGGCAAGCTCCTGGACCAGGCACGCTTCTGGACCAGGTAAGCTCGTGGACCAGGCAAGCTTCTGGACCAGGCAAGCTCTTGGACCAGGCAAGCTCCTGGACGAGGCAAGCTCCTGGACTAGGCACGCTCCTGGACCAGGCAAGCTCCTAGACCAGGCAAGCTCCTGGACCAGGCAAGCTCCTAGACCAGGCACGCTCCTGGACCAGGCAAGCTCGTGGACCAGGCAAGCTCCTGGACCAGGCAAGCTCTTGGACCAGTCAAGCTCCTAGACCAGGCAAGCTTCTGAACCTCGCACGCTCCTGGACTAGGCAAGCTGCTGGACCAGGCAAGCTCCTGGACCAGGCAAGCTCCTGGACCAGGCAAGCTCCTGGACGAGGCAAGCTCATGGACTAGGCACGCTCCTGGACCAGGCACATTCCAGGACCAGGCACGCTCCTGGACCAGGCAAGCTCCTGGACCAGGCAAGCTCCTGGACCAGGCAAGCTCTTGGACCAGGCAAGCTCCTAAACCAGGCAAGCTCTTCGACCAGGCAAGCTCTTGGACCAGGCAAGCTCCTGGACCAGGCAAGCTCCTGGACCAGGCAAGCTCCTGGACCAGGCAAGCTCCTGGACCAGGCAAGCTCCTGGACCAGGCACGCTCTTGGACCAGGCCAGCTCCTCGACCAGGCAAGCTCCTGGACCAGGCAAGCTCCTGGACCAGGCAAGCTCCTGGACCAGGCAAGCTCCTGGACCAGGCAAGCTCCTAGACCAGGCACGCTCCTGGACCAGGCAAGCTCGTGGACCAGGCAAGCTCCTGGACCAGGCAAGCTCTTGGACCAGTCAAGTTCCTAGACCAGGCAAGCTTCTGAACCTCGAACGCTCCTGGACTAGGCAAGCTGCTGGACCAGGCAAGCTCCTGGACCAGGCAAGCTCCTGGACCAGGCAAGCTCCTGGACGAGGCAAGCTCATGGACTAGGCACGCTCCTGGACCAGGCACATTCCAGGACCAGGCACGCTCCTGGACCAGGCCAGCTCCTGGACCAGGCAAGCTCCTTGACGAGGCAAGCTCCTGGACCAGGCAAGCTCTTGGACCAGGCATGCCTCTGGACCAGGCAAGCTCTGGGACTTGGCAAGCTCTTGGACCAGGCAAGCTCCTAGACCAGGCAAGCTCCTGGACCAGGCAAGCTCCTGGACCAGGCAAGCTCCTGGACCAGGCAAGCTCCTGGACCAGGCAAGCTCCTGGACCAGGCAATCTGCTGGACCAGGCAAGCTCCTGGACCAGGCAAGCTCCAGGACCAGGCAATCTCCTGGACCAGGCAAGCTCCTGGACCAGGCAAGCTCCTGGACCAGGCAAGCTCCTGGACCAGGCAAGCTCTTGGACCAGGCAAGCTCCTAAACCAGGCAAGCTCTTCGACCAGGCAAGCTCCTGGACCAGGCAAGCTCCTGGACCAGGCACGCTTCTGGACCAGGCAAGCTCGTGGACCAGGCAAGCTCCTGGACCAGGCAAGCTCCTGGACCAGGCAAGCTCCTGGACCAGGCAAGCTCCTGGACCAGGCAAGCTCTTGGACCAGGCAAGCTCCTAGACGAGGCAAGCTCCTGGACTAGGCACGCTCCTGGACCAGGCACACTCCAGAACCAGGCACGCTCCTGGACCAGGCCAGCTCCTGGACCAGGCAAGCTCCTTGACGAGGCAAGCTCCTGGACCAGGCAAGCTCTTGGACCAGGCATGCTCCTGGACCAGGCAAGCTCCTAGACCAGGCAAGCTCCTGGACTAGGCACGCTCCTGGACCAGGCACACTCCTGGACCAGGCACGCTCCTGGACCAGGCCAGCTCCTGGACCAGGCAAGCTCCTGGACCAGGCAAGCTCCTGGACCAGGCACGCTCCTGGACCAGACAAGATCCTGGACCAGGCAAGATCCTGGACCAGGCAAGCTCCTGGACCAGGCAAGCTCCTGGACCAGGCAATCTGCTGGACCAGGCAAGCTCCTGGACCAGGCAAGCTCCAGGACCAGGCAATCTCCTGGACCAGGCAAGCTCCTGCACCAGGCAAGCTCCTGGACCAGGCAAGCTCCTGGACCAGGCAAGCTCTTGGACCAGGCAAGCTCCTAAACCAGGCAAGCTCTTCGACCAGGCAAGCTCCTGGACCAGGCAAGCTCCTGGACCAGGCAAGCTCCTAGACCAGGCAAGCTCCTGGACTAGGCACGCTCCTGGACCAGGCACACTCCTGGACCAGGCACGCTCCTGGACCAGGCCAGCTCCTGGACCACGCAAGCTCCTGGACCAGGCAAGCTCCTGGACCAGGCACGCTCCTGGACCAGACAAGATCCTAGACCAGGCAAGATCCTGGACCAGGCAAGCTCCTGGACCAGGCAAGCTCCTGGACCAGGCAAGCTCCTGGACCAGGCAATCTGCTGGACCAGGCAAGCTCCTGGACCAGGCAAGCTCCAGGACCAGGCAATCTCCTGGACCAGGCAAGCTCCTGGACCAGGCAAGCTCCTGGACCAGGCAAGCTCCTGGACCAGGCAAGCTTTTGGACCAGGCAAGCTCCTAAACCAGGCAAGCTCTTCGACCAGGCAAGCTCTTGGACCAGGCAAGCTCCTGGACCAGGCAAGCTCCTGGACTAGGCAAGCTCCTGGACCAGGCAAGCTCCTGGACCAGGCAAGCTCCTGGACCAGGCACGCTCCTGGACCAGGCCAGCTCCTCGACCAGGCAAGCTCCTGGACCAGGCAAGCTCCTGGACCAGGCAAGCTCCTGGACCAGGCAAGCTCCTAGACCAGGCACGCTCCTGGACCAGGCAAGCTTGTGGACCAGGCAAGCTCCTGGACCAGGCAAGCTCTTGGACCAGTCAAGCTCCTAGACCAGGCAAGCTTCTGAACCTCGCATGCTCCTGGAATAGGCAAGCTGCTGGACCAGGCAAGCTCCTGGACCAGGCAAGCTCCTGGACGAGGCAAGCTCATGGACTAGGCACGCTCCTGGACCAGGCACATTCCAGGACCAGGCACGCTCCTGGACCAGGCCAGCTCCTGGACCAGGCAAGCTCCTTGACGAGGCAAGCTCCTGGACTAGGCAAGCTCTTGGACCAGGCATGCCTCTGGACCAGGCAAGCTCTTGGACTTGGCAAGCTCTTGGACCAGGCAAGCTCCTGGACCAGGCAAGCTCCTGGACCAGGCAAGCTCCTGGACCAGGCAAGCTCCTGGACCAGGCAAGCTCCTGGACCAGGCAAGCTCCTAGACCAGGCAAGCTTCTGGACCAGGCACGCTCCTGGACCAGGCAAGCTCCTGGACCAGGCAAGCTCCTAAACCAGGCAAGCTCTTCGACCAGGCAAGCTCTTGGACCAGGCAAGCTCGTGGACCAGGCAAGCTCCTGGACCAGGCAAGCTCCTGGACCAGGCAAGCTCCTGGACCAGGCAAGCTCCTGGACCAGGCACGCTCCTGGACCAGGCCAGCTCCTCGACCAGGCAAGCTCCTGGACCAGGCAAGCTCCTGGACCAGGCAAGCTCCTGGACCAGGCAAGCTCCTAGGCCAGGCACGCTCCTGGACCAGGCAAGCTCGTGGACCAGGCAAGCTCCTGGACCAGGCAAGCTCTTGGACCAGTCAAGCTCCTAGACCAGGCAAGCTTCTGAACCTCGCACGCTCCTGGACTAGGCAAGCTGCTGGACCAGGCAAGCTCCTGGACCAGGCAAGCTCCTGGACCAGGCAAGCTCCTGGACGAGGCAAGCTCATGGACTAGGCACGCTCCTGGACCAGGCACATTCCAGGACCAGGCACGCTCCTGGACCAGGCCAGCTCCTGGACCAGGCAAGCTCCTTGACGAGGCAAGCTCCTGGACCAGGCAAGCTCTTGGACCAGGCATGCCTCTGGACCAGGCAAGCTCTGGGACTTGGCAAGCTCTTGGACCAGGCAAGCTCCTGGACCAGGCAAGCTCCTGGACCAGGCAAGCTCCTGGACCAGGCAAGCTCCTGGACCAGGCAAGCTCCTGGACCAGGCAAGCTCCTGGACCAGGCAAGCTCCTGGACCAGGCACGCTTCTGGACCAGGCAAGCTCGTGGACCAGGCAAGCTCCTGGACCAGGCAAGCTCTTGGACCAGGCAAGCTCCTGGACGAGGCAAGCTCCAGGACTAGGCACGCTCCTGGACCAGGCACACTCCAGAACCAGGCACGCTCCTGGACCAGGCCAGCTCCTGGACCAGGCAAGCTCCTTGACGAGGCAAGCTCCTGGACCAGGCAAGCTCTTGGACCAGGCATGCTCCTGGACCAGGCAAGCTCTTGGACCAGGCAAGCTCTTTCCATCACCCCGCCCCATTCTCCCGCTTTCCATCACCCCGCCCTATTCTCCCGCTTTCCATCACCCCGCCCCATTCTCCCTCTTTCCATCACCCCGCCCCATTCTCCCGCTTTCCATCACCCGCCCCATTCTCCCGCTTTCCATCACCCCGCCCCATTCTCCCTCTATCCATCACCCCGCCCAATTCTCCCTCTTTCCATCACCCCGCCCCATTCTCCCTCATTCCATCACCACGCCCCATTCTCCCGCTTTCCATTACCCCGCCCCATTCTCCCTCTTTCCATCACCCCGCCCCATTCTCCCTTTTTCCATCACCCCGCCCCATTCTCCCTCTTTCCATAACCCCGCCCCATTCTCGCGCTTTCCATCAACCCGCCCCATTCTCCCGCTTTCCATCACCCCGGCCCATTCTCCCGCTTTCCAGCACCCCGCCCCATTCTCCCGCTTTCCATCACCCCGCCCCATTCTCCTGCTTTCCAGCACCCCGCCCCATTCTCCCTCTTTCCATCACCCCGCCCCATTCTCCCGCTTACCATCACCCCGCCCCATTCTCCCTCTTTCCATCACCCCGCCCCATTCTCCCTCTTTCAATCACCCCGCCCCATTCTCCCTCTTTACATAACCCCGCCCCATTCTCCCGCTTTCCATCACCCCGCCCCATTCTCCCGCTTTCCATCACCCCGCCCCATTCTCCCGCTTTCCATCCCCCCGCCCCATTCTCCCGCTTTCCATCACCCCGCCCCACTCTCCCGCTTTCCATCACCCCGCCCCATTCACCCGCTTTCCATCACCCCGCCCCATTCTCCCTCTTTCCATCACTCCGCCCCATTCTCCCGCTTTCCATCACCTGCCCCATTCTCCCGCTTTCCATCACCCTGCCCCATTCTCCCGGTTTCCATCACCCCGCCCCATTCTCTCTCTTTCCATCACCCCGCCCCATTCTCACGCTTTCCATCACCCCGCCCCATTCTCCCGCTTTCCATTACCCCGCCCCATTCTACCGCTTTCCATCACCCCGCCCCATTCTCCCGCTTTCCATCACCCCGCCCCATTCTCCCTCCTTCCATCACCCTGCCCCATTCTCCCTCCTTCCATCACCCCGCCCCATTCTCCCGCTTTCCATCACCCCGCCCCATTTTCCCGCTTTCCATCACGCCCCATTCTCCCGCTTTCCATCACCCCGCCCCATTCTCCCGCTTTCCATCCCCCCGCCCCATTCTCCCTCCTTCCATCACCCCGCCCCATTCTCCCTCCTTCCATCACCCCGCCCCGTTCTCCCGCTTTCCATCACCCCGCCCCATTCTCCCGATTTCCATCACCCGCCCCATTCTCCCGCTTTCCATCACCCCGCCCCGTTGTCCCGCTTTCCATCACCCCGCCCCATTCTCCCGCTTTCCATCACCCCGCCCCATTCTCCCGCTTTCCATCACCCCGCCCCATTCTCCCTCCTTCCATCACCCCGCCCCATTCTCCCTCCTTCCATCTCCCCGCCCCATTCTCCCGCTTTCCATCACCCCGCCCCATTCTCCCGCTTTTCATCACCCCGCCCCATTCTCCCGCTTTCCATCACCCCGCCCCATTCTCCCGCTTTCCATCACCCTGCCCCATTCTCCCGCTTTCCATCACCCCGCCCCATTCTCCCTCCTTCCATCTCCCCGCCCCATTCTCCCTCCTTCCATCTCCCCGCCCCATTCTCCCGCTTTCCATCACCCCGCCCCATTCTCCCGCTTTCCATCACCCCGCCCCATTCTCCCGCTTTCCATCACCCCGCCCCATTCTCCCGCTTTCCATCACCCCGCCCCATTCTCCCTCTTTCCATCACCCTGCCCCATTCTCCCGCTTTCCATCATCCCGCCCCATTCTCCCGCTTTCCATCACCCTGCCCCATTCTCCCGCTTTCCATCACCCCGCCCCATTCTCCCGCTTTCCATCACCCCGCCCCATTCTCCCGCTTTCCATCACCCCGCCCCATTCTCCCGCTTTCCATCACCCCGCTCCATTCTCCCTCCTTCCATCACCCCGCCCCATTCTCCCTCCTTCCATCACCCTGCCCCATTCTCCCTCCTTCCATCATCCCGCCCCATTCTCCCTCCTTCCATCACCCCGCCCCATTCTCCCGCTTTCCATCACCCCGCCCCATTCTACCTCCTTCCATCACCCCGCCCCATTCTCCCGCTTTCCATCACCCCGCCCCATTCTCCCGCTTTCCATCACCCCGCCCCATTCTCCAGCTTTCCATCACCCCGCCCCATTCTCCCGCTTTCCATCACCCCGCCCCATTCTCCCGCTTTCCATCACCCCGCCCCATTCTCTCGCTTTCCATCACCCCGCCCCATTCTCCCGCTTTCCATCACCCCGCCCCATTCTCCCTCCTTCCATCACCCCGCCCCATTCTCCCGCTTTCCATCATCTCGCCCCATTCTCCCGCTTTCCATCACCCCGCCCCATTCTCCCGCTTTCCATCACCCCGCCCCATTCTCCCGCTTTCCATCACCCCGCCCCATTCTCCCGCTTTCCATCACCCCGCCCCATTCTCCCGCTTTCCATCACCCCGCCCCATTCTCCCGCTTTCCATCACCCCGCCCCATTCTCCCGCTTTCCATCACCCCGCCCCATTCTCCCGCTTTCCATCACCCCGCCCCATTCTCCCGCTTTCCTTCACCCCGCCCCATTCTCCCGCTTTCCATCACCCCGCCCCATTCTCCCGCTTTCCATCACCCCGCCCCAGTCTCCCGCTTTCCATCACCCCGCCCCATTCTCCCGCTTTCCATCACCCCGCCCCATTCTCCCGCTTTCCATCACCCACCCCATTCTCCCGCTTTCCATCACCCCGCCCCATTCCCCCGCTTTCCATCACACCGCCCCATTCTCCTGCTTTCCATCACCCCGCCCCATTCTCCCTCCTTCCATCACCCCGCCCCATTCTCCCTCCTTCCATCACCCCTCCCCGTTCTCCCGCTTTCCATCACCCCGCCCCATTCTCCCGCTTTCCATCACCCCGCCCCTTTCTCCCGCTTTCCATCACCCCGCCCCATTCTCCCGCTTTCCATCACCCCGCCCCATTCTCCCTCCTTCCATCACCCCGCCCCATTCTCCCTCCTTCCATCACCCCGCCCCATTCTCCCGCTTTCCATCACCCCGCCCCATTCTCCCGCTTTCCATCACCCCGCCCCATTCTCCCTACTTCCATCACCCCGCCCCATTCTCCCTCCTTCCATCACCCCGCCCCATTCTCCCTCCTTCCATCACCCCGCCCCATTCTCCCGCTTTCCATCACCCCGCCCCATTCTCCCGCTTTCCATCACCCCGCCCCATTCTCCCGCTTTCCATCACCTCGCCCCATTCTCCCGCTTTCCATCACCCCGCCCCATTCTCCCGCTTTCCTTCACCCCGCCCCATTCTCCCGCTTTCCATCACCCCGCCCCATCCTCCCGCTTTCCATCACCCCGCCCCATTCTCCCGATTTCCATCACCCCGCCCCATTCTCCCTCCTTCCATCACCCCGCCCCATTCTCCCGCTTTCCATCACCCCGCCCCATTCTCCCTCCTTCCATCACCCCGCCCCATTCTCCCTCCTTCCATCACCCCGCCCCATTCTCCCGCTTTCCATCACCCTGCCCCATTCTCCCTCCTTCCATCACCCCGCCCCATTCTCCCTCCTTCCATCACCCCGCCCCATTCTCCCGCTTTCTATCACCCCGCCCCATTCTCCCGCTTTCCATCACCCCGCCCCATTCTCCCGCTTTCCATCACCCCGCCCCATTCTCCCGCTTTCCATCACCCCGCCCCATTCTCCCGCTTTCCATCACCCCGCCCCATTCTCCCGCTTTCCATCACCCGCCCCATTCTCCCGCTTTCCATCACCCCGCCCCATTCTCCCGCTTTCCATCACCCCGCCCCATTCTCCCGCTTTCCATCACCCCGCCCCATTCTCCCTCCTTCCATCACCCCGCCCCATTCTCCCTCCTTCCATCACCCCTCCCCATTCTCCCGCTTTCCATCACCCCGCCCCATTCTCCCGCTTTCCATCACCCTGCCCCGTTCTCCCTCCTTCCATCACCCCGCCCCATTCTCCCGCTTTCCGTCACCCCGCCCCATTCTCCCTCCTTCCATCACCCCGGCCCATTCTCCCTCCTTCCATCACCCCGCCCCATTCTCCCGCTTTTCATCACCCAGCCCCATTCTCCCGCTTTCCATCACCCCGCCCCATTCTCCCGCTTTCCATCACCCCGCCCCATTCTCCCGCTTTCCATCACCCCGCCCCATTCTCCCGCTTTCCATCAGCCCGCCCCATTCTCCCGCTTTCAATCACCCCGCCCCATTCTCCCTCCTTCCATCATCCCGCCCCATTCTCCCTCCTTCCATCACCCTGCCCCATTCTCCCTCCTTCAATCATCCCGCCCCATTCTCCCTCCTTCCATCACCCTGCCCCATTCTCCCTCCTTCAATCATCCCGCCCCATTCTCCCTCCTTCCATCACCCCGCCCCATTCTCCCGCTTTCCATCACCCCGCCCCATTCTCCCTCCTTCCATCACCCCGCCCCATTCTCCCGCTTTCCTTCACCCCGCCCCATTCTCCCGCTTTCCATCACCCCGCCCCATTCTCCCGCTTTCCTTCACCCCGCCCCATTCTCCCGCTTTCCATCACCCCGCCCCATTCTCCCGCTTTCCATCACCCCGCCCCAGTCTCCCGCTTTCCATCACCCCGCCCCATTCTCCCGCTTTCCATCACCCCGCCCCATTCTCCCGCTTTCCATCAC